ATCAACCAAGTCAGCGAACCTGACCACCCGATCCCGTTAGTCGCATTTTACGACAAGCATAGTCGCCTTTTACGGCAAGCATGGGTTGCTGAAGACCCATTCTACCCCAGACCTTCACGGGTCTACTCTACTTGAACTGTATTTGAACTCTGTTTAACGATTTTATCTCGTTATGGGAAGATAAAATTATTAGATACAATACTGAATTCACCACTACAGTGGATTCATTGTTTCACATGACCCCACGTTGTGCCTTTGTCAGTGACACAGACTACTATTCTCCCTGGGATGTTTTTTTTAGAATTCTCCAATATTTCAAGCCTCTTCTATTTCAGCATGACTTGCCACAAGGTCTTCTGATCTCTGTGAGACGTAGACAGGACAAACCATGACGTTGCATTTTCATTTCATTTTTCAAAGCCTTGTTGAGAGAATTTACATGACTACCACGAAGGCTGATAATCTCTGTATCATGAAAAGCCAGAATGTGCATATCAGGTGTGACGTCCTTACTCTGATACACCTGTCCAAACATTTTACCCAACCCTTGGATTTTTTTTGGTCAAAAGAGACATCCTCAGAAGTTTCAAAACTTTCAGTGAAACCTCTCAAGAGAAATCTACCTGACTCCTTGTTATTTCTAAAGTGGAAGTCAATGCCACAGCTGCAAACAAATGTTTCAAACTTATAAACATTCTTACAATTCCCTTTGTCATACATGCTTGTACATCTGTCAATATGATCAAGAACTCTGAAGTATGCGATCAAATGTTTGACAAGGTGATCCGACAGCCTCAGACGTAAGTGCAATTTATGCAGCACTGTTTTTACAAGTGCAAAGACGTCAAACAACAGAGGATTAACACAGTTGTACCCCTTAGACAGTTCAATGTATCTATAATAGTTATTTATGCTTTGTGTGCATTTATATATTTCATACCAACTGCACAGATAACAAAACTGTCATCAGAGCTGGTGACAGTTTAATCAGAAAATGTTGCTTCACAAGGACTGTCGTAGATTTGTCTGAAATATGAATAGATTTTGAAAGCGTTAAATTTGACAAACATGAAATGAACCCTGGCAAGAATTGAATGAATGGGAGGTGCATCCTTTGGATGCACAGAAAGCACTTGCAGTTTCAGACACGAAAGTGACCAAACGTTAACTAGAGTTATCTCCCTTAACCGAATCACTCTTCCCTTTCTCTAGTAATAAATGGGCACGTCCATGATACAAGACGTCCGCCTACCATGTTTTCCTGGTGAAAGAGTACATAATGATCGTAATGAATTAATCTAGGAAGACACTATGAAAGATTTCAAGGCATAACCAAATGTCAAGGTCAACGAAATGAATTTTTATGAGAACTTCAAATCAGATCATCAGCCGTTAGGACATCTCTTTTCCCCGCTCATTACGACTTTGTTATCATCAAGACCTTGTTGTTGTTTTTTGTTGTTAATGCTTTGTTAGGGTGTCTATGATTATGTTCAAGTATAGCCATGTGTTTTCTGCCAATGGACAATATGGGTTAGTCGAGGAAACGTGCATGTCCTAAAATAGGTCACCATTTCATCAAGGCCAGTGAAACAAATGTTTTGATATGAATGGCAGCCAGGGGGAGGAACACAACAGCCAAAGGTACTGCTACAATGAGAGTGAGTGAGTGAGTTCAATTAAAGGTCACGTGTGCAATATTTAAGCCATAATGTGACTTTATCAAATCTGTCGACGAAGGACAGTATAATAACTAGCAATATATCACAGTTTTACTTAAAACTAGTTGTAGAACATTACAATATCCAATATCCAACATCCACAAATTACCAACTTGCAATAGCTATTTTCCATATCTTAGATTTGAATATTTCTGTAAATCAGCATCATAAACATAATTGACATGGCATAATTAGTGTAAACGTATTAGGAACTTTACAAGTAGTCATTGCCTCTTTAAATGCCGATAAAACGTTGTGACTTCGTTTGAATATTTATCGGACTCTGATACAAATTACCAATTTGCAATAGCTATTTTCCATATCTTAGATTTGAATATTTCTGTAAATCAGCATCATAAAAAGAAAGACAATCTGCGATGCCGTTTCGTCTCTAGCGCCGTGCTAAATCGCCATGATACACAGGCCATAAAATTAGGCAATACTTGAACAAATAACTTCCGTTGCGGACTAAACGTTAGTAGTCTTACGCTTATAACTGTAAATATATATTTAAATGTCTAGAAGTGGTCTACAAGTGGAGTACACTTTCCAGACTTGGCAACATTAAAGTGATTATAATATCTGAACATTCCAACATTAAACCTGGTCTACAAGTGGGGTATAATGTCTGGACAATGTGACTTTAAAGAAGGTCTACAAGTGGAGTATACGTTCTAGGCTTGGCAGCATTAAACCTGGTCTACAAGTGATTATAATATCTGAACATTCCAACATTAAACCTGGTCTACAAGTGGGGTATAATGTCTGGACAATGTGACTTTAAAGCAGGTCTACAAGTGGAGTATACGTTCTAGACTTGGCAACATTAAACCTGGTCTACAAGTGGTTATAATATCTGAACATTCCAACATTAAACCTGGTCTACAAGTGATTATAATATCTGAACATTCCAACATTAAACCTGGTCTACAAATGGGGTTTAATGTCTGGACATTCATCTACAAGTGGGGTATAATGTCTGGATAATGTGACATTAAAGCAGGTCTACAAGTGGAGTATACTTTCCAGGCTTGGCAACATTAAACCTGGTCTACAAGTGATTATAATATCTGAACATTCCAACATTAAACCACCTGGTCTACAAGTGGGGTATAATGTCTGGACAATGTGACATTAAAGCAGGTCTACAAGTGGAGTATACTTTCCAGACTTGGCAACATTAAACCTGGTCCACAATGATTATAATATCTGGACATTCCAACATTAAACCTGGTCTACAAATGGGGTATAATGTCTGGACATTCATCTACAAGTGGGGTATAATGTCTGGACAATGTGACATTAAAGCAGGTCTACAAGTGGAGTATACTTTCCAGGCTTGGCAAAATTAAACCTGGTCCACAATGATTATGATATCTGGACATTCAACTACAAGTGGGCTATAATGTCTGGACAATGTGACATTAAAGCAGGTCTACAAGTAGATATAATATCTGAATATCGCAACATTAAACGTGGCCTACAATTGGTTATAATATCTGGACATGGCATAGTTAGTGTAAACGTATTAGGAACTTTTCAAGTAGTCATTGCCTCTTTAAATGCCGATAAAACGTTGTGATTTCGTTTGAATATTTATCAAACTCTGATACAAATTTTATCGAATTGGCCCTCGAATTGATGACACTATCCAGTACATAATAAACAACGAATACACACACACTCACAAAAGGTTTGATCATCTTTGACTTTCACGACGATTGAACAAATAGTGACCACACTGAAAAGGATGCACAGCAGTGAAATCATGGCTAAATGTTGACACCCGTTTTTTCGTTATCCATTGTAAATAGGGACACTGGTTGTAATTTGAAATGTTCTCGATCTGGATCTGGAAGTGACCACCTCCGTGGTATTGTGGATAGTGCATACGCAAGGTTGCATTCCTTGGACGTGTCATACCAACATATGTTAATATAATATACCTGTGATTACACTACCAGGCGCTCGGCATAAGTATATCCATGTATTTTAGAATCTGGTAACATTTAATTCTGGAACTTTAAAAATCGACATATCCTTTCATTTGATATTCACTGACCAACCGACAAAAATACTGACACAAACTACAGACAGACTTATCAGACATTCAACCATTTGACACCTCTAGAAGCACGCTCTAGGATATTTTAATGTACTCGTGTAGTGTTCGTACTGATATATGAGGGGTATTGTTGTATAATTGTCGTGAACGGTTTTAAGATAAGCACATTATTTTATTTCTCAGTAATGTTACCCTAGATTGTGGAAATAGTATATATTTCTTACAAATTAGGTGATATTTGAAAAGGTTCATTCCTAAGCTGAACACATCAGAAGATTCCATTCGATTTTGTCAGTCGAATTAGGATGGACAGTGAGTGAGTGAGTTGTTTTTAACAGTATTCCAGTTATATCACGGCGTGTCAGCTTAAAGGGGGAGGAAAACCTGAAGTGATGCATGTCTTAGACGTTTACCACTTCGATGAAATTCACGGGCACGGGTATGGTGCTGACAAACCTAGAAACATAATCGGGGCGAATCGGGATTCGAACCCACAATCATAGGTTTCTTGTGTGCCCAAGGGTCGAAATTCTCAACCAAGTGTCTCTTTATATCAAATGTATCAACACGAGTCAATAGAAGTTTAAAACTTTGTGTTGATATATTTGATATCAAAAGACCAGAGGGCGAGGATATATTTCAACTGTGGCATTTTGTAAACAGTCACGACTTGTGTTGAGTGCACAAAATGATCTCACAACTCTCAGTGTCAGAGAGTAGTGATGCCAATTGGTTATGACGTCATTGCCAAGCATTTCATTGCAATGATATCTCATGGCTATAGGCTATACCGCTCAATTTTGCTGAAGCGATATCTCCTGTTTTAATAATGTCCAGTTTAACCTCGGGATCACGGAATAAACTTCAACAGAAAAACTAAAACATCATGGAGGCCACTGACAAAATACAAAATTTATTCCATATTTGTCATGATAAAATCAGAATATTTCAAAACAAACAGCTTTTCTTAAAGATAATATCAACAACACCGTTGAATGACATTTCGATGCAACAGTAATAAAGATTTCATACATTTATTTGGAGGCAGGAACAATAAAAGGCACTAACAATACTCCACAACTTCATTTCTTTGACTCCTATTTAGAGAACCATTTCCTGAACGCCTGTAACTTTAATCGTAGCCCTGATGGACTTTTAGTTCTTTCAGTAAGAGCAATATATTTGTTGTGACGTTTAAGAATTTGTTCCATTACCTTGAAAACACTGTCATCCTTCTCAGCTGATATCTCCACATGTCCGTGCTCCCATTCACAGCTGATATTGAGGTCCCTATAAACCCTCTCGATCTGGTCAACAGATTGACCAATGTCTGTCTTGTTAGCCGCAAACACAATAGGAACGTTTGCTCCTTTCTGTTTCAGAATCCTTTCTCTTATGTTGACTGCCACCTGAAAGGAAGCATCGTCTGTGATTGAGTAGACAAGAAGGTAAACATCGCTTGTTGGTACTCGTTGCAGAAAGGACGTTCTACCCGAAGATGCTTCTTGAACTTGTATGTGCAGGGTCTTTCCACCGATGCCCAGGACATCTTCTGTAGTCTGTCGAGAAATTGAAGTGGCGCTATCTCTCCAACAGTCTTCCAATCTAGAACTGAGAGTGCGCTTCCCTACACCGTGATCACCCATCACTAAGAGATTAAGAGATTTAGCATCTCCTTTATCACAGCATTCTTGGTTAAAGTTTGATTTCTCAGCCATGATAGAAATTTGAAATTCTTCACTTCTGTTCTTGAGCCTCAATCAGGAATAGTGTTACCTGGTAGAATCCAGCAGAATTTATACTTTTTGTTGGTCACGCGTCACGTTCACCTTTTACCTGAGGTGTTGAATATCCATAAGACGTAAGTCAGCGTGATGAAGGGGGCAACACATCGTTTGATTTGCGTGTTGATTCCCAAATTGAAACGCAAATATAAACCCCCAAATCGGTACGTACAGTGAGTGAGTGAGTTGGGTTCAACGCCACTTTTAACAGTATTTCAGTTATATCACGGCGTGTCAGCTGAATGTGAGAGGAAAGCCCGAAATGATGCAAGTTTCAGACGTTTTATAATTATCACTTCTGTGAAACCCACGAGCACGGGTATGGTGCTCACAAACCTAGAAACATAATCGGGGGACTCGGACCGACAATCATAGGTTTCTAGACGACTTGGCCACCCGTGTCCCCTGGTACATACAGAACTAAATCAGTTGCTAACTACACAAGATCATATAGAATCAGGCGCAAGAATATTTCCAAGTGTATCGGACCAGCTGGCTGCTAATATCATGTCTTTCTGTGTACATGCATCGTCAGTAGTCAATGCTGTTGATAGTTCTTAACTAATTACAAATTATACAAGTGATACTGGTTTTCTAAAACAAAGATGGTATAGCGGAGAGTATCATAAAGTATGTACACTGGATATATCCGTTCTTTTGTTGTGTTTCAGAATCTATTTGAAACAATAGGAATCAGACAGCAGAACTAGAGCTATAAACAGAAACACTTTGAAAACGCTTTCTCAACCTTGACTTGCTGGAAAAGAAAACGATTTTAGCAGAAAATGTTTACTCGCTTGACAAAAACGATGACTGTTCGACAAAAGACATTATGTCTGATCATCTTATGCCAAAATATACAGAACAACTCAATTTGTTGGCATACATTAGAATACCTCCCACAGCGAGCACGGAGGCTAAGAAATATATTTGAAATACAGTATACTGTGTACCATTATAATAATGATGTATAGTTTTGTGTGCGTGTGTGCGTGCGTGCGTGCGTGCGTGCGTTCGTGCGTGCGTGCGTGCGTGCGTGTGTGTGTGTGTGTGTGTGTGTGTGTGTGTGTGAATGCCAAGGTAACTGTGAGCGTCATATCCATGCGAGTGTGACTTTGTAAAAAACATGTTTCAAGATCTGCGTCACACAACACCAGAACACCTGTCAACTGGCAGCCCTAAGGATGTAAACGACACTTTCAACAACACAGAGAATGAGTGAGTTAATTAAAAATGTACATCACGTCAAAATTTCTAATTTCTCAATTTACAGCACAATATGAAAAAGGGCTATAGATCGCCATCAACCAATGTTAAGCCACCATCCTGGGAACAATGTGGACTTACAATACGTCTTTTTCCCGACAGGATTTATACCATCCCTTCATGCAGGTTAAGCCATCTATATGACAAAAATACTACCTTTAAAAGGCTGACATGCATAACATAATTTGTATGACGTGGAGCTTGATTCTTTCACCACAAGGGATACAAAACGGAGGATCCTCACCTTTCAATGGTTGAGTGAGTGAGTATGGTTTTACTCCGCTTTTAACAATATTCCAGCAATATCACGGCGGGGTACACCAGATATTGGCTTCACACATTGCACCCATGTCGGGACACATAAATATTCATGGGTATATCTGTTGTGGCCAAAACAACATTGTCGCATAATGACCTCTTGAAATCTGGACTGACAACCTGAGAAGGTGTAACCGATATTTGGTTTAATTTCATATAATTTATCAATACCAATTAGGATGTCCCACTCCTTTAACATCAGATCTCTGATGTAACATCTAATAACAGGTTTATAATCTGCGCCAACATCCTAGGACTCATCTGTAAATATAGATTTATAAGAGTTATATAACAGATCGTATTGTAAATGAGTTGGTTTGTATCTGATTTCTTAAGTTGGGTTAATGTGAAGTCTACATTTGTTTTTACCATTTGCCTAGGAGCTATATCTTAAAGGTTAATTTTAGTGCCGTAAATGACAGATTTGATTCGTATTCTAAGTGGTGGAATATGATATGATTTCGTATTGAAATATCTTCGTAAAGAGGATATTAAATATGAATTAAAAGCTTGATTTTACTGATTAGAATATAATTTCGTGATGTATTGTAAGTAAAAATTTCAGACGGCGTTGTTTAAGCGATGGCTCATCCTCCTCTCCGTACAAATTATGAACAGGAGAAGTTCGAAAGGCTCCAAGGCAAAGCCTCAGGCCTTGATGGATAGTGTCTAGTTTTTGTAAATTACTTTTACATGCTCCAGCATTGACGATGGCGCCGAATTGAAGTTTAGAACGGATCAGTCATCTGTATACGTGTGAAAGGGTTGACTCATCTCATCCCTACTTTGATTTAGATACAACTTCCAACAAATCAAAGGCCTTCAGACATTCAGCTTTAAGTGGATTAATATGTGGTAAGAACGTGTAATGGCTATCAAAGATGAGTCCCAAGAACTTGGCATCTTTTACAGCTTTGATAGGGGTGCCACACTAATATAATTCTAATCGTACGAAATGATCAATAGTACTTCTATGTTTCCAGAAACCACATTGAACATTACCAACAAGATTACAGATACCAAACTTACCGTCCAAGCACCCCCCAAGGGTCCATGAACATAAATGTATTATTACCTCAGCGAAGGTTACTGAACGAATTGACAGAAGCGCCCAGAAAAGGACACATTTCAATTCAGATTTGAAATGTTGCCGCTTTGGCTTGTCGGAACCTTTCGGTGAATGAAATGTAACATGATATAAAATGTCAATGTATGAGAATAACCAGTCTTGATTATCCGCCGAAACAGATTCCAAAAGGGCAAATAGCTGTGAATAAATATATGATGTGACGACAGCAGGGATGTGTCGCCTCGTGGTGGTGAGGTGAGGTGAGGTGAAATTGAGTTTAACGTCGCGTCCAAGATTATTGCACTTATATAGCGACGTGCATGCACGTGTATGTGTGTGTGTGGCTGCTTGTACTAGTCCGGACTGATGCCGATTTATAGTGCTAGCTCACTGAGATACCATGCCGCAGTTTAACATGAATACCCCACTCAGACACAGTATACTGACTCCGAGCCGACCAGTCCTTGTTTTAGCCCCTTAATGCCGAGCGCCAGACAGGGTAACAACAAGTACAATCTTTTAACGTCTTTTTGTATGACGCGGCCCGGGATCGAACCCTGGACCTTCCGCTCTCCGGGCGGACGCTCTACCACAAGACCACGGAGGCGGTCGCCTCGTGGTGGTAATTTGGTAAATGTGGAGGATGTGTAAATAATGTCCGTACTTCCATTACACCCATGACCGTGACACGCTCGTGCACAGGTGCATTGCCCAACGATGCGAGTCATGAAAAGTTCATAACATGTTGATCGGTTGGTTGGTTGGTTTGTCACTCAGCAATATTCCAGCTATATGACGGCGGTCTGTAAATAATTGAGTCTGGACCAGACAATCCAGTGATTAATATCATGAGCATCGATCCACGCAATTGGGATCGATGACATGCATCAACCAAGTCAGCGAGCCTGACCACCTGATCCCGTTAGTCGCCTCTTACGACAAGCACAGTCGCCTTTTACGGCACGCATGGGTTGCTGAAGACCTATTCTACAACGGATCTTCACGGGTCAGTAGTCTTAGTGTTCACTTGTCCCGCCTAATAGGCCATTTACATATATCCGTGTTTTTCCCGTATCCGCAAAAGTCGCTTTTGCAGTAAATGTGCTGGGGTATCTCAACCTGTCCGTATCAGTATCGTTACATTTTGGATACGTGTCCCGCATCCGTGTGTGTTTTTTATCACTTATCGATTTTTGCGGATGGACCTGCGGATGGAGAAGCCCCTGTTGTAACGTTAAATAATAATGTGAGCCCTGTGGAATTCACTTTGTACATCTATGTTGCCTTAGTGTGAATACGTGTGGAAATAACTGCGGACAAGTGTAAAGGTCAATACGGATGCACGTCACGGATACGGATGAGGGGGGCGAAAAAATCAGTTTGGTGTGAGCCCGACCTTAGCGGGATTCATTGCCCAGATAATGTGAAGACAAATTTCGGTGTCTCCAAGTTTGATAAATTTTGAAGATCACCTGAAGATTCCGGGTTGAATTGGTGTCTTCGGGAACAAATGCTTGTAGTAAGAGGCGACTAACGTGATCGGGTGGTCAGGCTCGCTGACTTGGTTGATACATGTCATGTATCCTAATTGCGTCGACCGATGTCAATCACTGGATTGTCTGTTCCTGAATCGATTATATACAGACCACCGTCGCATAGCTTGAGTATTGCTGAGTACGGCGCTAAACAAACAAACAAATAAACAAACAAACAGAGGAGCTGCGAAATATCGTGGTAGAGAATGGGAATGGGGTTTGTGTGGTGGGGGATGACAAACAAATAAACAAACATCCGTCAAAATTGTTACTTCATGCATCAGATTGCGAAACGCCACCATCAGTGTATTGTTAAGCCACCATATATATATATATCAAGTATCATATATATATATATATATATATATATATATATATATCTATATCTATATCTATATCTATATATATATATAGATATCGCTGCATGGCTGCAATAA